AAGTACATGATAAAAATTATTAATAAAATAAAATTATTAATTAATTACAATTAACTGAATGACTCACAAACCTTCTTAATTGACTAACTTTAAAACTCTTCATACAAAATACAAACGATTTAAGGATCGGCAGGAGTGATAGGCTAATTCCGACTTGATCTAAAATGATTATCTACTCCTTATTTACAATGCAGATATGTATCTATACTCAATTATATTTTGTCTTATAGAAACAATGTTTCGTCATGAAATTTTGTTGAGATAATTTCTTTTACAATTACAAAGCTATCTACAGAGCCAATTTTGCAATTTAGCTCTTAAATAATTAAAATAAATGTAACTATCTACTCTTTATTTACAGTGCAGATATATATTTGAGTACACCCATATATTATCTCGTAGAAGCAATATTCTGCCATAAGTCTTTTCTACGTATTTTTTATAAAAGCATCAAAGATGCCAGAGAGTTGCATTACTGTATATACTGTGATTAGTCTATAATTGGTCAATTTCTTATGTTTAAAGCTTAAGATCGATTTACGGGAGAGGAATCCGATAGCACACGCTGATTGGCCAATTAAATATAAAATTTTCTGATTGATGGTCCATTGGAAAATTCCTAAGTAGTGGCTGATGTGTGCTATCACATTGTGCGCTAACGGGATCCGATCGTAATCTTATGCCATAATTATAAAAAATTAACCAATCAGAATCGAATTATAGAAGAATAATCGATTATGATTCGTCAATTTTTTACGATTACGGGATAAGTTAACAGATGATGGCCTTCATAAACCAATCCTTAATCACCAATTGTAGACAGGGACTAATGAAAAACACAAATGTCGGAAGATTTGGCGGCAAGACTCGATCAGCTGATTGGCGAACAGCAGTTTTGGCGCGAAACGCTGCACAGAAGGCCAATCGGAACGAAATCGAGATGATTTTGCCCGCGTAAAGTGCCAGTGCCTCCTGCTCCGTTCATCAAAGCGGTTCTTGGTATAATTTATTGTTATCCTTTTTTTTTCATTATCATCGTTGTAGTTCCGAATTTCGAATTCAGTTGAAATCGCAAGGCTTCGCCAGAAACATTTTGATAATAATGGCATTGCACGAATCCACCAAGGAGAATGTTCGCAAGCATTTTGAAGATGTGTCATTGCACGTGAGTTCATTTTTGTCTTCCTAGTCACGATTCTCTTTAGCTATGTTGCATCTTACATATTTTCACTCCACATTTATTCAGATCTTCTAATGCTTCAGAAATGTAAAGCATTAAATGTTGTATGCAAACACTAAGTTACGTGTGCTTTTAAACTTAGCACGAAACACCTATATCACAAATAAAATAGATAAATATAGTGATTATACATTTTTATTCTAAAGGACAGCCCTTTCATGTAGCTGTTCTTTAAATTTCTTTATTTTCTCAAAAGTCAATTTTATCCTTTGCATCACGTTACATCGTGTGTAGTTATGAAATGCACCTGTGTGTGTTTAATTAGGACTTTAGAATGTTTCGTGTCGTTCATCAGAATATCTTGTTGTTAAATATATTTATAATTTTATATTCAATGTCGTCGATAACCTAAAATGAATAAAGAGGTAAAGTATTTTCTGTATTATTACTGCTGGAACTTTTCTATTTTTGATATTTCTAGGTTATGAATGTTTTGCAGTCTCTATAAGTACTTTTCATCTGTTGAACTTAAAAACGTAATAAATATGTTTAACGTAAAAAAATAAATTAACTAATTTATATATATTATATATATATTAATTATATATATATTAATAAATTAATTAATTTATATAAAGAGACAACTATACAATTAAGACAACAAGATAAATTTATTACTTAATCTTACTCTATTAAGATTTTATTTTAAGATTGAGACAAATCTTGATTTATTGATTTTTTAAATTGTTGAATTTATAGCTTATAAAATATCTATCTTAAAATAAAACAAATTTGTTTGTTTAAATAAGTTTTCGATCGCATCATTCTACTTCTGATTTATGTCTAACAAATGATAAAGAGAGAATGATGCAATAGTGCTATTAGGAAATTTCCTAATACAATCTTAATTAGTCAATCGTATACATTTTTTTTTTATGAGTAATATGTTACAACAGCAAAAAGTTTTTTAAATTATAATTTTTATAATTTATGTACAAGAGAGATTTAAACTAATGATCTTTGAGTTGATAAAATAATTTATTATATGTGTATATTTTAATGATATAATTTAAATTTTTATAATGTTAATAATATAATAAATAATTATATGCTTTTTTGATTTATTATAAATATTTTAGATTGTGTTATATTAAATTTAAATGAAGCATGTTTTTCTTGCAGACATCACCAAAAAAATCATGTATTTCTCCAATAATATCTCAGGATCATGGCTTGAAAACTGGAGTAAGTATAGTTATTGTTTATATTTTGCTTTTAATATTTTATATTAAAATTTTATCGTTTAGATTACAATATTTAAAAATAATAAATTTGTAGCTTATCAATACAAAGGCTGTACGAAAAATACAATTAAAAGAGGACTTCAATCCGGAATTGGAACCACTACTCCAAGAAAGTCCAAATCGCTTTGTAATCTTTCCTATACAATATCCTGATATTTGGGAAATGTATAAAAAGGCTGTAGCTTCCTTTTGGACCATAGAAGAAGTACCTCTTCATAAAGTAAATCTTAAGTTATAATGCGTTTGATTAAATATATAAAAAAATACCAGTTGAAAATTTAATATATCTAATAACTTAAAAATTTGATAAAAATTTTAATATATGACTTTTTAAGGTTCAAAGTAAAATTCTTATAATAATAATTTTTACAGTTAGACAAGAAAGATTGGGATGAAAAGCTAAATTCCGACGAGAGATACTTTATTTCTCATGTCTTGGCATTTTTCGCTGCTTCCGATGGTATTGTTAATGAAAATTTAATTGAGAGATTTAGTCAGGAGGTAAAAATTGCCGAAGCACGCTGTTTTTATGGTTTCCAAATCGCCATAGAGAATATTCATTCGGAGATGTATTCTTTACTAATCGAAACTTATATTTCTGATCTCAAAGAAAAGTAAGTGTAATAGAATTTGCATTCATGTATACAAAGTATCATTTTTATGCATTTTTTTTCAGTTGTATTTAAATTACATACTATTTTTATATTTATATTGCTCGATATATTATCATTTGAATTTTATTAATAAATTATATTTTATTAATTGACGAATCTTATTTGCAGAGATTTCTTATTTAATGCGATCGAGACACTTCCTTGTGTTGGAAAAAAGGCTAATTGGGCCTTAAACTGGATCAATCACGAGAGTGCCACATTTCCTGAACGTATAGTTGCTTTTGCAGCGGTTGAAGGTATTTTTTTTAGCGGTAGTTTCGCTGCGATATTTTGGTTGAAGAAACGAGGAATCATGCCTGGCCTTACTTTCAGCAATGAACTCATCTCACGAGATGAAGTGAGTAAATCAATTTTCTTATTTCTCTTCTTTCTGTATTTATAAACAATTTATTTAATAGATAATTTCTATTTAATATTAATATAAATCTGTTTTGATATTCTTTTTGCTACTTTATACTTTTGTTGTTTATATTTAATATATTCTTATTACTTATTTATTTTTTAGGGACTACATTGTGATTTTGCGTGTTTAATGTTTAAACACATTGTACAAAAGCCATCATTCGAGCGCGTGAAATCAATCATAATGAATGCCGTGGAAATTGAAAAAGAATTCTTGACAGAGGCATTGCCAGTTGAATTGATAGGAATGAATTGCACGCTAATGTGTAATTACATCGAATTCGTTGCAGACAGACTATTTGTTGCGTTAGGATTTGAAAAGGTATGAAAAGATTATCATGTCTTCTTTTAAAGTGCTGGTAGATATATATTTTTTTGTTATATACTTTGTATATGTTTTACATACTAGATTTATCAATGCTTTTATTTTACGTAATAATATTGTTTGAAATGTAATAAGATTTTAAATTTTATTCTATATATATATATATATATATATATATATATATATATATAGATTTCTTTAAGATATCAAATATTATCAAATTTACTTGTGCATGCGAATTTTGTAATTTTATTTCTATACATAACGACCTCAATGTTCGAAACGCACATTTAATTTTTTCTAAATCTCTCCCAAAGCCCCGTGACTCAAGATCCAAAGCTCATCGATTCGCTTGGCCCCATTATCGGACAATCTGTTTGCTAATGAGTCACACGGTCATTGCAGCCGCAAGGACTCTCGCTTCGAGATGTCCCACCGCAAGGACCAATATTCCGGGGTTTGTCAATATTGACACCGCAGGATCGCGTAAGAGGCCGACCGCGCTATCGGGCTTGGTCGGCCTTATTTCTCAAGCTGTTCTTCCGTTCTCGAGCTGTTCTTCAGTCATATATGGCGCTTGGTATCTCGTCTTGTTACAGCGTACATACTCGTCGGCTGAAGGCAAAAGTGCGGAGGGTGAATCGAGTGTAGAGCTTGCAAGGGCGGGAAGAACACGGTCGACAGCGGATGAAAATGCAGTGGGGAAGAATGAAGGATCGGAGCCGAGTGCTTCTCCTGAACGCGCGAAGATGTAGAAACTCTCGCCGACCCGGCGATCTTGACTCACAGGCGAGCAGTGAGTCGTGCAATGGCGGAATTATTTGCATACGCTTTTGTATACCTGGTGTCCTTAAGAATTACGAGACTTTCAGTCTCCGCGCGAGAGAACGTTTTCCGGGACGACGAATTCAGCGAATTCACACACTTAAAATCGCTAATGATCGTTCAACGATAGCAAATCGCCGATAGCGATAGCAAAATCTTTTTTCTGTCTTTCGGAGAAAATTTATCGGTTTTTTAACGATAACGTAAAGGCATGGCGCTAAATTTCGGCACATTCTTGTACATTATTCTTACTCTTGTACATCTCAACTATTTTATTTTACAAATCAAACATGTACTCTTTCTTTTATTCTTCAATTCGAATTTCTTTTATACAATTTATTTGCATTAATACGTGTATTATTCCATTAGATTAATCAAGGATGCAAGGAAATTTTATGAATCCAACGCGATTATGAAATGATTAAGCCGTACAAAAACGTCATGAAAATTCATAGAATTGTATATATAAATATCTTGCCTCACAACTGTCAGATTTCTTTATTTAATATAATGAAATAATTTTAATGCTAGAAATAATTATTATGATAAAAATTTTAAAAATGATATAATTAATAATTATCAATATAAAAATAATATAAAAAATTAAAATTGCATAAAGCAAATTATGTTTAATCTTATGGTTGGCTCGTTAATAAATAATTCTAATTATCTTCAATATAAATAACACGAAACTACATATAAAGACATTATCGACAGTTCCGTTTTTTCAAATTACTCTAAATGAACTTCTTATTAAATATCATCAATTGAAAAAAAACGTTGTAAAAATAAACGTTGAACAAAGATTATGGGAAGTCTATTGCGTATAAGAGAAAGGGATGAAAATAATAAATTGTTAATTTTCCTAAGTTAATAATAAATAAAGATTTGATAGCCAATTCATTGATATTAAAAATTTTTGATATGATCTCTTATAATTTATATTAATTTAATCTGTTTATAACAATAATATAATAATATAATAATACAAATCTGTTGTAACAGTATTTATAATGTTTTAACCGCATTTATAATTTTTCAGTCTTTTTTTCATAAAGTATTATATAATTGAAATAAATACACAAATTTCACTTTTTTTACAAAACTATAATTATTATATAATTAAAAATGTACATAATGATGTATAAATATTTTTCATTTTGTGCATTGCAATTTATAAAATAGATAAATAAATAGATAATGAGATGACGAATGTTATGTGTAGACAAAATGAATTATTTTTGTCGTTTTTAATTGATAATTTTATTTTGATATATATATATATATATATATATATATATATATATATATATATATATATATGTAATTTTATTTATTACAAAAAGTGTAAAAATATTCAGTAAATATTAAAATATAGATAGATAGAATAAAATATGATTGATTTTTAATATGAAATATAATATGATTGATTTTAGGTTTACAATTCAGAGAATCCGTTCTCATTTATGAATTTTTATCTCCTTGGAGGGCAAGACAAATTTCTTTGAGAAAAAAGTGGGCGAGTATAAGAAATTTGGAATGGACGAAGGTTCTCAGAAAAGTAACATGTCAAGTGTGGTATTTGGTGCAAGTTTTTAATATAAGTATATAAATATAAAATTAAGCACAGAAACAAAAAATGCTTGCATATGAACTTCGAAGAAGACGATCCTTTCGAAGGAAAAAAGAAAACATTAATTCCTTGTGACTAAAACTATTTTATATTAATGATAAACTGAAATGAAGAATGTTTGACAAATTCGCGAGTCGAAAAATGTTTGTATAGTGTTTATAGAATATATATTAATTAACAGCATTAATAAGAAAAGTATTGTAAACGCATTTTTTAATATTTTTATTACAATCGTAATTATGAAAATATTATTTTATCATGTATGTATGCTCTAAAAGATATACCTTCAATTTATGAATTTTTTAACAGCAGTTTGTATATTTAACCTTATTCCTAGTGTAAATGATAAATGATAAAACTTTCAAGAAAGAAAATATTATATAAATAGATCTGTATAGATATTTTAAAAAGTTGCAATTTTGTGATTAGAATACTTTTCATTTGATGCTGCCGAATTGTTCAACAAGCATTGAACAAGATCATTAATGTATAGATTTATCATGAGTTAGAACGAATTGTAATTATATAAGAGATTAATCGCAATATTCGTGACTTTCAAAAAAAATGTCTTTACAATTTGATTGCAAATTATTTTATAATCAGTTAAAAAATTAAACATATTTATTTCTTATCGAAGAACTAAATTTTATGATAAAAATTATTAACATGTTGATTGTTCTTATAAAATCTTATCAATGATTAGATATGTCAAAAAAGTATCATAAATTTGAATAATTATATGGATATAAATTTGGATAAATGTATCTCTTATTTTAAAATCTAGTACTTAAAACAGTATTCGTAGATAAGTCTTCGTCTGTAAACAATAAATATGTAATGATAAAACAAATGAATTAAAAGAGACTTGTGCTTTATTTAAGTATATATATCTATAAAATTGGTATATCAAAAAGATAGTACATACAAATGCTTTACATCATTCATCCAATTATCGCATGCTTGTTTAACGTACGTATTATATATGTCTATATGCATGTATAAGTTGTATATACAGTAACATTATAACAGTTTTATTCGTTGCCATTATTTAAAAAATGTAACTGCATTGTCGTTACTAATAAAAAAATGTGTTACTCAAAAAAGTAATAATGACATTACAAGTAATGCATTATATCTAATTCTGTACAATGGTATATAAATGATAACTTCAATTATAACAGCTCTATAAATATATTTATAAAAAATATATATTTTTCTCATGGAAGTTATATAGTATGAAATTAAAGGGAAGGTACTTCAAAGCCTTTCTGTAATCGATCGAGATACTTCTTACGGCATTCCATATTGTCAGCTGGTCTATTATATGGTAACCAAACTGGTTCTCCCACAAAATATCTTTTTGCATTTATGTAATTCTGAAAATTCCGTTAGATTTTATTAGAAATCAGAAATTTATTTTAAATCTACTTTAAATATATTAGATTGTTTAGTATTTAAAGATTATTCATTATTTAGATTTATAAAAAAATTAATTTTCCATACTGCAAAAAGACAAAGGAAAACAAAAGAAATGTAGAAAGAATAATCATATGAAGAAAAATGTATTTATAAATATTCTTACGTTAGTATCTAAAGTAAAGCGATGATAAATTCCACTGGGTATGATTATTAAATCACCGGCTGTTACTTCGATTCGAATCCATTCGTCATTCTTGTCACGCACATCAAAATAGCCAGAACCATCCAGAATCAGACGTATTTCTTCATCGGTATGAAGATGTTCAGTAAAAAAGTTTTTTAACTGAAAAAATTATTTGGATAACAGAAATTTAAAGTAGTGAAAAATAATTTATATTTATTATTGTATATTGTAATATTGTATATATACAATAATAAATTAAATATAAATTAAAGTTAAAAATATTGTTTGTAATAATGAGTAATAATTGTAAATTTAAAAATAGTGATGATACCTTCTCTTCATAATTTTGCAAACATTCTTTGGAGCATGTTATCTCATCTTCATACGTATAACCTCGTTTTTCGCGTAATTCTTTCAGAATATTATCTGTTGCATAATTTCGATGATCTATCTGAAAAAACATACTTTTAAAAATACAGATACCTTCTTGTCTTTATTGTAATGAATACAAAAAATATTTTTTATTGCTACATTGACTATACTAAAATTTTGTCTCGCTTTTATCAAACTTTGAACATATATCTATTTCATTTTAAGTACAAATGTATACTAATTCACCTATAAAAAACAAATTTTAATTCTCATTTCCATCAAACTAGATTAACTTTGATTTTGATTTAATTATTTGATTTAATTTATTCCTTATTTTAATTTATAGTTATATAAAGAGAGAAAGAATTTAACCAAGATTAATCTACATTAGTATAAATTTGTTATATACAAAATTAAACATTAAAAAATATAAACATATAACTTCTACAACAAAAATTATTTCATATTATATTAATT